TACGAAACGAGTACGCGTTCGGCACTCTGATTGGCCGGCGCCAATGAAGCAACCAATCAGAGCGCCGAATGCGTACTCGTTACGATTACTTTAAACGTAAAACAGACTCGTACTAAGGCTTTAGCTTTCATTGTGACTAAGCAATATCTATTGTCATTTGTAGGTCGCATGTATCTGTCAAATGACGCGTCGTGGACAATCAACCTAAGGCATCGTTCACACCAAACGTGTTGTCCGCCGACTGTAAATACTTACTGTCACTGAGATGTAAAATACATATTATATATGTATATGGATTTGGACGTAACGTGCGGTCACAGTCAGTAGTCGCCACGACAATGTGTTTGGTGTGAACGATACCTTATTTTTCAAAAGTCCCTGTTTTACAACTGACGGATAATTTAACGCATTTTCCCCTACAAAGTGTTTCAGTACTTAATCAGATATTATAAAACAGGTTTTAAGAATGTTATTATAAAGTACAAAGTTAAATTTAACATAATGTAAGGTGGGTTATTCTAAACTTATAATTATGTTTATTTCTCTAATTAAGCCTACAAGTCTTACGTATGGCAATGTATTTAACAACTAAATTGGATACTTTCCATAGTCAAAAAGAAATTGGATCATAGTTTCATTAAATAATTTAAAGATATACTCTATTGTCGCCTACGTATGTAAAGTTATTTTTAAAAAATATCTAGACATAGTCATATATAGTCAATAGTCAGGTATATGCTAGTTAATGCAAAAATGTGTCAAATCTCTCATTGCATATTTAGTTACAGTTAAAAATTCTATTGTTAATATTTATATCAAACTGTGGCCCGATATATAGGCGATATAGGCTCTGTAAACCTAAAGGTTAAAAAGGATCTTGAATTCGATTCGTAAGCCAGGCTAAATATTTTAAGTTTTTAGTTTCATCACGATTCTCAGTAACAAATCGGAGCTTAAAACTGTTTCTCGTTAAAGGCTTAAAACTTAAAACTGACCCAAAATGGGTATTAACATTGGTACCTCTGCCTACCCCATTGTAGAATCAAAGGCGCCATAGCATGTTATTTGAGAATTTAGAGACGGAATATACGGTGTTTAACTTTAAGACGTTATCAAAAGTATTTCTGTCTCAACAAAACACGTAGAATGGAAAGAGATCGCAAGACAAAATGGCAACTTGTAATTATTTTGGCCATTAATGCACGAGTCATTAAATTTATTAAGGAGTGTGAGTTAAGATCTGATTATATTATTCAGATACTTAGACAATATCATTAGACAGAACTTGTCTCCATCTCTTCTCTTTCCGTAAAGGTCACGCATTCTATAAAATAGCATGCATGCTCGAAATAGCAGCTTGTATCCTATTAATTATTGTATCCTATATGAATTGTATTAATTATTATGCTCAAAAATATTCAAAAATCGAACGAGTATTTCGCAAGCATGCTCGAAATGAGCATGCTAATTTTGAGCAACATTCGGACTTCGGCTTTTAAGTGACAAGTACTAAATGGAAGCATGCTTTCGTGCGCTTGAAATCAGCATGTTTTTTAAAAGAGTAACGATGGTGTTTCTTTCTCGTTCTTATTGGAACGAGCGCTTTTTTTAAGGGGGAAAGAAAATCATCCAGTGACTTCTCCCGCCTTGGGTTAGCCGAGAGCTTCCTCTCGTTAGGCTCTTAATGCCCAAAAAACCACCCATTTCCTACTCCTGCTCTTCGGCCCGGAGCCCCGGCAACCCGTTAGGCCTTTCGCGGCTCCGTATCGGGCATCAGCCCTACTGGGCCCCATCTGTGGTGGTCTGATAGGTCTTTGAGGCGCGCACGGAACGCGACTCGCCGTACACATGGGGTTGGTTCTTGTCGAGCTCGCCGTCCTGCACTTACGGTGGCCGGAGATCGTCGCGCGATCTCCGACGCCCGGAGTGTCTCCTGGGACGGCTGGGGCGTGAGGAGGTTGTTCCCTCACGCGTCCCGCCTCCTCCTTGGCTAACATAAATGCGTCGCAGAAGAAGGATACAGCATCCCAATTTCCCTTGGTCCGAACCATGGCCTGAACCAGAGCCGGACGCGAGAGGTCGCCATCGCTTCTTCCGTGTCCGGTAAGCACCTGCTTCAGGCGGTAGGTGAGAACGCCGTAGCGTCTCTCTACACTCATCAAAGTCGGGGTTTACCGCTACCCGGCTAATGGCAGCGAGCCCACCCCTGGGTTGCGGCAGTCGTTGGTGCCATTTCGCCATGAGATCGCGCCGAGCTCATCCCGCCACGCACTAATCTGGCGTGGCTGCGGAGTTTCGCCCCAGCGAAGCATATCAGCGCGCAAACTGAAGATTCTCGAAGACGAGTCCTAGGTACTTCATCGCCGTCTCGACGCCGGTGGTAACCCCACCCGCCGTTATTTGGGACCCACCCGGAGGTGGCGCATTGCCGCGGCCATTAGGAACGAGCGCCTAGCTTCACTGACAGAATAAAATAAATGATTTGACTTTGACTTTGCAGGTACCAGTATCTTTAAGATTGTAAGCACTGCGAGAGACTGGTCAGCTGTGGTCTCTGGTAAACTTGAATCTTTTAAACTGAGATCCCTTAACTACATGCCAAACGGAAAAGTAGTGGCGAATGATCTTTTATAGAGTCGTTATGACTATATGTTTGAGTGACCACCACGGGCTAGATCACGTGGTTATACTATGTAACGTGAGTAACGTAACTCACAATTTTAGGCTTAGAAAATTGCAATATAATAACTACAAAGGGTTGCCAACCTGTTACTGCTCACATAATGATACGGTATCACATTTTATTTGACCGAATTGTGCTCCAATGCGGTTTGGAATTTGGCACCGCTCAAACTGTGCAAGCTCATCAAATTGCTGACTAACATGAATTAATTCTGGTTAATAAGGCATTTTAGTTTAGGTTTAGAGTTATGAACTAGCGTCAGAAAACGATAAATATTGGACTTTAATACATAACGTTATAATATACCAAGGCCTTTATTTCGCAAAGAGGTGGGTAATCACTTACCATGTGTGTTATTCTACTATTTTTATATGTAGTCACTTACAAATCAATGACATAGTTTGTATACAGGCTGTAAGTAATAAACGATACACTAACTAAGTAAAATCGATAAATATGTACTTAGTTTAAAGCGTAATCATTCCGAAGACGATAGATTGAATTGTATTCAAAGTCCAATTACCAATTTCAAACAACATATCTTAACAGACATGTAGACTCTAATAGAAAAGGCACTGAACACTTAATGAGTCCCAAAACCGTCACGACTCGTCGTCTGAATTATATTCAGTCTTTACTACTAAGTTCTTGTTTTTCAACGAGCCTTCATAGTGCAAGGAAACTATCGTATGCTTTTTACAGAATGCCCACCACCACCTAAAGCCATTTAGTCCTACGAAAGAAAACCCAGGATCCCTCATCCTTCGCAACTTTTCAACAAAGGATAATACTTCTTTCAACGGTTTTTGAGTTCGTCTATTGTAAGGAGATACGTTTGTTTCACAGCAGAAGTCTAAAACAGCTTTTTCTTCACTGTCTATTAGATTGATTTCCTCTAACATTGCCATACGTTTAGATTTGCCTAATATATTATCGTATAGTGTCCCTTTAGGTATGCCATACATCGTTGATGCTTGTGTGAATTTCATTTGTTGCGTGGCGACTGCATGGATTGCTTCTTTCAGTTGGTTCTGTGTCCACGACGGTTTGCGCGAGGTTTGACCATTGAAATCTGATAGGATTGGGGAACAAAACAATTGAATAAAAAGTCCGTGTTACTATGATGCAGTTGTATACCGAACTTAATTTTATTTCCTTTGGGTTGTCTGCTGCGATTTAAGACTAAGAGCTAAAGGTAGATTGCTTGTTTAACTTGTCAGGTACCGGTTTTGTAGACACAATTATAGAACAATAGGTTGCGGTCACCGGTGACCGCTTGGTGTTTGACAGTTTAATTAGTAAAATCAAACCGATTTGTTGGTTATCTAGGCTTCAAATTCTATTTCATGAAAAATAAAAATACTTATGTATTTGATATCCTATAACATTTTGTTAAAACAGTAAAATATATAACGGTCGTAGCTGTAGATTGAAAATACGGTCGAAGATTGTCTAGATTGAATTGCTTTTTGGTTGTCCTAGTTTTTCCTGTATAAAAATCTACAAACCAGTAAATATAAATCGGTCAAAAATTCATACACTAGGTACTATTTAGAAGCCATTTTAGGAATGGCGCTGTATGTTTGTCAGATGTTCCAATTTTAGGAACGGATTATAAGTAAGTAAAATTTCCGTGATACGTGATTACAACATAATATTATACAATGTATCTATCATTCGAGAAACTAAGGAAACTGACTTACGCACACAGCTACTCTAATACAATGCTAGTTTTTATACCATTAAAGTATAAATTTCACTAACACAGTACATACGGCTATCGTAGTTTAACAATGTTGTATTGAGCTAAAATAATAGTGTTTCTATATTATTCTCTCACGTTATAATGACAACGAAAGAATAAGAGCTATTATCAATGAGAAATATTTGCTATAAAATACATTGAATGACTATGTTTTGCTATTTATTATTGTATTATGTATTAATGTCGGGGAAACGTCTATAGGATTATTGTATTAATAGAAACGTATATTTTTTTATAGTGTCTATAGATTTCTTCAGATTAGATTAAGTCCATCAATTTTTTATACTGCATCAACGTAACACGGTTTTAGAAAATTATAGAAACAATAATAGGTAAAGAAAGATAGGAATTTTGTAATAAACACTGTTAAAGGAAATATTTTTTTTAATTTAATGGTGTCATTAGAGGTAGGACATTTTTTAAGGTACATAAAACTTAAAATAATTTAAAAAACGAATAGGTATGCTAAGAAAAAACTTTTAATAACATAGTTAAATATTTGAATTCCGAATTCGAACATAAAATGTTGCCAGTTATAATAATGGTACGAACCTGCGATTGCTGCAGACGTGGAGGCTCCGAGCCAAGCCTGGGAGTTCTCGATCATTTTAGCCTGTAAACAATAATAAAAACAATTAATGATTTAATTTACATTCCTTCATAATTTTTATACTTAATGGTTAAAAACCATAGATATAATAAATGAATATTCACAAAAATACATATAATTATATTTAACTGAATGGCATCGTTGCGGAGATCGAAGCCGCTATAGGTAACATTTAGGTTAGGCGTTACCCAGTCGAAGCAAAAATCGTAGTCAAAGAAGATATCCCTTCATGTTTTTGTTGAATGTTTTTATTTAGAAAACGAATACTTCAACCATTTACATGTCTAGCGTTAATTTAGTGGTGATTTTCGTATTTTGTACATTGTTTCTCTTATAACACAAACTTTAGAACATAATATACTAGATTCTGTCAGTGGTTTTACCCGCGATCCCGAGAGATACGAAGCCTTAGTATTTTTCCATACCATAATCTGTCTCTATTACAAATTTCATCCCTATCCCTTCAGCCGTTTTTACATGAAGGAGTAACAGATAAATAAACATACAAATTATAGACAAAATCATAGAAAAGAAAGCATGAGAAAACTATCTACCTCCGATAGAGATATATTTTTATGGCAACACATTATAGGACAATGACCGGCCTAATAATAAATCACGAGACTGTCTTTGTTTACATTTAATAGTTATTAAATTCAGACTAATGTCGGAATACTGAAACGCTACTCAATTTTAAGTCGTGCTAAAGTATAGTTCTATCTCTACAAATTCTTTGTAAAATGACAGAGATGGCACAACATTTGAGTACGACTTAAAATGTCGTATATGTCATTTAATTAGAATAAGCAATGTTGTATTCGTATTTATAGAAGTAAACTATGTACGTCTTGTTGTGAAAGAGTGGAGTTTCCTAACACAGGCATATCTTGCTTAAAAGGAGGCTCCAATCACAATTTATAGGTTCCGTAATCTGTTTTTGCAAATAAACGATTTTTTTAGTTACACATTTATATATCGACAACAATGATTTTTGTGATTGTACATACACACCTATGTATTGATGAATTAAGCTATAGAAGAATTTGTTTTATATTAGTAGCTTTTGTCAGCGAACGTGTCGTATATCAGGACAAATATTAACCTATGAGATACTTCAGACTGTATTCGATATCTATGTGCAATTTTGTTAAGATCTATTCAGTAGCTTTTACGTGAAAGAATAACAAAAAATGGATAGTCAAAATATGCAATGTGGGTACATGGACGTAACAACAATCGGCCCACGTGGCGTCCCTGTGAACATTTACACTCGTCTGCGGCGTAAGGGAAACCACAGAGATTTTTAAATGTGTCGTGTCACATTTCAGCCGAAAAAATTGGTACGTGTTCGGGACGACATCATGTGGCCGGAGATGTCACTCGCAATAAAAATATCATTTTTCAACGAAAACTGTTTGAATTTCGCTTCTGCTTGTACAATGTACGGAACACGACAGAACAAACAAAACGTTTATTTCAAACGAAAATAGCCACAAAAATCACACTTATAATGAATGGCACCAACATCACAAAGAAATCGAACTTTATTTCCTTTCATTAGCAACGTAACGGACACCGCACATAGGCAGTAAAGTATATAAAACAGCGTTCTAAATCTTGTGCCGACACAATTACAACAAAGGTTTAACAAGTCGGCTTCATTACCGTACAATAATAATAACGGTCAGATGAAAAAGAACTATTCGTCGGTTAATTTACAATTTCCCATCTCGTACAGGAAGTTTACGATTGCACATTTTATCGATCGCTACTGTAGATCATGCGTCGGATCGGACGCGACGGCCGCGCCGCCCGCGCCGCCCGCGCTCTGCTCAGGCGCACGTTTATTTACGTCCACCCTGTAATTGTTGGAGCAAAGAGCGGCATTTCTTTGTGCCCAGCGCTACAACTAAACATTATCGAAGTTTTAATTGTGAACGCAGACAAAAGCCGGCCATTTTACGGCGGCAATAACGGAACGCAGTTCAATCTACAAATAAAATCTTTTATTAAGTTAGCCGGGCGACGACGGGCCCGCCGCTAGTCGTGTTTACGAAACGCACACGTGCCCTAAGTACCGGTTGAAACGTTCCGATGTATTGTTTGTTTACCCGAATAAAACACTAAAATCCAATTCAATAACAAAGAATTAAAGATCCCGAAATAAAATTTATTGCCAGTGTACGATAAAATAGATTTATGTAGGCGCAGGCGGGTGGGCGGGGGAGAGGCGCGGCGGAACGCGACTGCCTCGATCATATTATTAAATTAGTACATTCACTCGTCTAGATTACAATATGCTAACATTATGAGGGACAACATACAACACTGTTGTGGACGAAGAAGGAACGGCCAGGGTAGGGATAAGATAGTGTTGGTAATGTTATGTTAGTCATAGTGTAGTGTGGTTTGGATAGATGTCACGCGTGTCGTGTCAGCCGTAACAACGATGGTCGGGAGCTGGGTGGTGGGACACGTATAATATTGCTAACTTGTTGAGCCATGTGACGTCACCAACGTAAGCAGCTGTTTGACGTGGGTCGGCCCGTAATCGGCAACCTGTAAGATTATCCTTAAGCCACTGAATTTAAAGCAGTTCATGAAACATCTCACTTTAGTTTGTGGGCCTATTTTGGAGACTACAGGAAAAGTCCGGTTAAGTAGTCGACAGCCTTAGCGTGCTAAACTACGAATGGTTCAAATAAGAAAAAAAAGGTTATTTATTGACTTGGGGGTAACTTCGGGGTTAGTCGTTCCGCTACACGAGGCGGGGTGCAAGGGGTGGCTGGCCGGTCCTTTAACAAACTAATAAAAAAATATATTCGTAAATAAAGCGGGGACCAACGAACCAATTCATATTTCTAATTTCTTAGCTTTTTATCGATGATACTGTCATATGTTCCTAAGGTACAGGAACTTTTTTAAAGTATATATTTTTTTATACATTTCCAAAAAATACGTGATTTCACGATGGTGTTAAAGCAGTTTTTAGATATAATTACACGATAAATGTGAAGAATGACACGGACCTACACCAATCAAGCTCTATCGCTGAAGTTAAACTTATGCACGTCTCTCTGAAAGAACCTAAATTCTATATCGTCCGCTGCGAAATTCAGTTTCACGCAAACGATTCGGGATATAGGTTTCATTCATTGGCGTCACCAACAAACTCGATCTATGGCGATCCACCACTGCTTAGCCACGTCACTGACATGCCATCACCATATATATCTATACGATAAAAATTCCAATATCTCGATTAAACTACGCGAAGTTCAATACCGAAACGACTCTTCCTGAACTTCAAATTTTCTGTGAACTTTGAGCCATTCATCTGTGAGTGACAACCCTGAACCAGATCCTGTCATAAGACTATGGTTGCTGTATTTGCAGAAATAAATAGATAATAATAAAGTAGCCGAGACGCTGAAATGGTATTTTATACTTTAATAATGATTGCTTTGCATATTTTTCATCATAACAAAAATTTTGCACCACCTGCGCGAATAACTTCCTAGATAGCAAATGAGTGCAATCCAGCGCATTAGTCGGTCATTATTTATGTTATTCCGGCGGCTGCGCGGCATGGCGCCCCTCTAATCGAAACTTTGCGTACGAAACGCAATAATAAACTTCCGTGGTACCGCGCAATTACTGTCTACGTATGTATACGCGTAATAAGTTCGCGTCAGCCGGCCCTAGCGTACGATTTACGCGAAATTTAATTTCGCTGTTTTATAATCAAGGTAGTCGCTGTACTCTGCCTATCGCTCGCCGGACACAGAACCCAAAAAAAGAAGCCTGTGGTTCATAGCCCATGTTTTACAAACAAGCTACGGTGTTTTCCATTTTATTTGTTAACATTAGGATGACCAAAAAGTAGAAGTATGCGTAGCTTTGTCTGATGTACCTGGTCACTCTCCTCCGTTTTCCATTTGCTGCTATATAAACAGTGATGACGTGCGGTCCCTTACTCCACTTGTCTTGTTTTTTGATTTTATGTTTGCGAACGATCGATTTTTTGGATTGGTGACCGCAGCCATTTCCAGACAAGTCTGTTAGTCTCATTTCTTTCTTTAACAAACAAGCAAATAACTCCCTCTACCCCAACAGGGAGCCAGATATCAAAGGTACGGTTATTGGCCACCTCTCATTAAGATAAGTGGAGGTCACAAGTTCGCTGTGTTCAATGAAATTAATGTTACATTATAATTGAGCACTGGTACAATTGACAAACGTCAATAGCACAATGAAGCCGCGGAAGTCCTCTAGTGTTGCGAGGTTTGTTAAAGGACTATCGCGGGACCGAACGTTAATTAATAGAAGAACTTGTTTCCCATTCATTTTATTTCGTATTGTTTAGCTACCGTCCAGAGTTCCTTTCAATTTGCTATAATAACGCTTATGCTATTTCCCCGTTAATACAGGATGATTCATTTGTTCCGAGATACAGTTGGCGAAGAATGGCTGGGGAAGGGCGCGTGAAAGGGTGTGAGAGGGGGTGAAGGGGTGACGCTCGGAGGGGCGAAGGATAAAACTAATCACACATCCTCTTCATAGAGCGTAGTGTGGGGTCACTTTGGCAGACGGCAGCGGAGCGCCCGTTGAAAAAATACCGAAGATTTATGTGCTGACGTGCCATCGCCATCGGGTTAACTCTAATTTGTCAAGTATTGTTTTACACAACTATAAGATTGGTCGATAGGTTTGATTCGTACAGATGATTTATTTTGATGAATTTGTATCATTAACAGGGTAGAGTGTTGAGGAAGTAATTATGTGTAATGTTGCACGGGCTGACTACGCACAGATAGATGCGTATCACAATTAAAGCGTGGCTCCTCTCCGTCCGCGGTGGCACTCCGCACTCCTCGCTCCGCCCGCTTCACTTCTGCATTATCCATTTCCGCATTAGTGTCTTTGTTCCCCGTTTGATTGTTTAAACGTGCGTCGATGCAGTATCCAGTGGTTATTATTTCCACTCCTCTCACTCGAAATGG